AAACCAAGCAATTGAACCAACCAGTACAAGATATGCAGAGCGACTTGGAAACAACTAAATGGATCGCGAATACTGAGAAAATGATTAAAGGAAGCGAAAACTCGAGTTTAGTATCACTAGGACGTGTTCTAAGGAATCGACAACACAGGAAAGCGGAAACGGATCAAAACTCCGATAAAAAGGAGGACGCCGATACAGATGAAGATTAACATAATAACATGGAACTGCTGTGGATTTGACAAAGGTATAAAGCTCAAGTTTCCTTCAAAAAAATTATCCACAGACTTAGACAAACGACTTAAATATTTTTTGCTTTCAGGAAGTAAAACCAGAAGAACTTGACTCAGACATTATACTTGTCCTCGAATATTACAATCTTAGCTACCACTACCATCCAAGCATTGGTAGGAGCGGAGGTCTCCTGACTTGCTGGAACTTGGACGCAAAAGTACAGAAATTTTACACTTGCGACGCTTGCCTTGTTACTCACTTTACTAACTTCTCCATAACTACAGTTAACACATACATTAAAGCAGCTGACTATCCCATCTACTGCCAACAATTGGGCAATGCCATGCAGCGCCTGAAATCACTTCCTGATCATCAAACTAATTTACTTGGTGACCGAAATGCATACCAGAATGCAAAAAAGGACCGAGTTGGTCAGAAAAAGGAGGCACTGTAAAGAAAGACTTACACTTATGCATATTCAGAAAACTGAAATTTATATTTGATGACTTTCAACTCGATGATGTAGCTCTTACCTTAGATTGCGACACAGTGACACATGAATGCAAACGAACCGGAACAAAAACACGAATTGACTACTTCTTTCTGAATGATTTCAGCAATGTAGAGAAAATTGAAATATCGGAAAAAACCTGAGTGACCATTATTGGGTAAAATTGAAACTTGTTACTGGAACCGAGATTGAAATTGGTCCTGGAAACTGGCGGCTCAACAACAATGTTTTAATACCTAACTACAAACTAATTAGAAATTTTCTTTGTATGAGCGATGTAAACCGAAAAAACTACGATATGGAAAAACAGAAGCTGCGAGACTACCTGAGAGGCCTATGCTTGAAGAAAAAATCATTAGAAAATCAACGAAAACAAAAAATAACTGAATTTCTCTCCAATTGTGACCCAGCTGACCCAAACTATGGTTTTTATTCCAAAGTGTTGCGTGGTATCGAAATAAAAGAATTCAAGGAGTTGCTTTCTAAAACGAAAAACCACATGAAAGAAGTATTCGAGGGAAATCCAAAATCGATCAAGCGATGGGTGGAAAGTTTTCAGCCGCGAACATTAATCAATGAACTTAAGTGTAGCAATGGGGAAATGTTCACGAGCTAAGGCCGTATACTTGATGTCATAACAGTATTACGAAGACCTCTACCAGAATGACGAAGTGGAACCACTAGATAGATTTCATATCTTGAGGTTTTTCTCAAAAGCTATCACAGATGATGAGAAAGACAAATTGTCTCTTCCATTTTCAGTAACTGAAATTGAAAATGCCATTGATAAACTGAATTTGTCTACCAGTCCCGGTCCTGACGGGCTAACATCTGACCTGTATAGGCAGCATAAGCATCTTTTTGCCAATCTGCTTTGTCCAATATTTCAACGAACGCTAGAAGGAAAGACTCTGCCGTCCTCTTTTCACTGCGCCATACTGAAATTGTTACCCAAAGAGAAGGGAGTTAAGACAGCTTCTGATTTCAGACCAATATCATTGATCAACACCGACCAAAAAATTTTCTCCCATTCGATGGCAACTCGGTTTAACGATGCAATAAAGCAAGTAGTTCTCACAGACCAATATGCTTACCTTGGTCATCTAAGCATGCATGCTGCCATAAACGACATACAACTCCGACTTGCAGATGATGACCTAGATATGTGCATTGCCAGTCTCGACTTCTCAAAAGCTTTCGATAGAGTTGATAGAAAGTACCCGTTTCAACTGCTGCGGAAAATGAATTTTCCACCATATCTGGTCGATGCCTTGGAAAATTAAATTGGAAAGAGGAATTCGACAGGGTTGTCCCCTTTCTGCCTTACTTTTCATAATAGCCCTGGAGCCGCTGCTAGAGATTCTAAGGCTTCATCCATGGTATCAATATGCTCCAGAACGACGAGTAATTGCTTACGCCGATGACGTCAATGTCTATGTACATAAAGAAGACCTGGCCCCAATGTTCCAGGAATTAGATAAATTTTGTAAAGGAACCCAATTCAAGGTAAACAGAGGAAAATGTCGCATTCTAAAACGTAGAGAGGCCAATAACGATCGGTACACTGACAAAATTAAAGTGCTCGGGGTCTATCAAGGTAGTAATAATGCTGTCATGCTCAATCGCGAGAGTATGCAGAAGACAATGGATAACATGCCAAAGTATTTCAATATGTCGATGAGTTTCTTCGCTAAAGCTCAAATCATAAAAACTTTCTTCTTGCCCAAGTTTCTTCGCTTTGCAAGACACTCCCCGTTTGGAAGGAACAAGACTTTCAAAAGCTCAGCCTCAAAGTTTTGCGGGGCAACGGCAAAAGAAGCGAAGTAGCGTTGCAACATCTACAACGAGAACAATTTAACGAGAGAACAGATTGGCCCAACTCAAGATGTCACGTATTAGCTGCAAAACTGGTTGACATCAGAGATGCAATGCGTTCAAATGATGTGCTTACCAGAAACAAAATAGAAAACGCCATTAAAACAAAAACATCACTTATTAAACAAGTTGAACTGGAATTAAAGCCATTTAGTCTGAGCATGAAAGTTTGGGAAGATTCACTGATTCTACCAGGAAAACGGAAGAACTTGATTATTAATGGCAGCATTGGTCATAAGGCTCTGTATCAGTTCTTATTTCAAACTATTACTAAGCCTGAAGACTGGAGTAATAGAATCCGAAATAGTTGTCAGAAATTCAACTTGAGCGAAGAACAGTTCAACAGAATTCCAATTTGGGTATCAAAACAGCAAAAGTTAACAGCTTTTGAGAAAAACATTTGCTTTAAGCTGCTTTTTAACTGTATCCCAGGCAAAGATGTTATGTGGAACCGTGGTCTGAAGCCAAACCCTCTCTGCTTTTTATGTACATATTCAATCGAAAACATTAAACACCTTCTGGGTAATTGCCCTAAGACAGCGACATACTTGAACGATCTCGGTATGACGTCTCTATACGATATATTTATTCCACCTATGAATCTCAAATGCAAAGCGATCGCAATTATTTTGTACGACTCATGGCTGAATTCGAGCGAAGAAACAACATATAAACTGCACCTCCTTGTTAAAAACTGTGACTCAATAACTTGAAAACTCTTTGAAATTATGTAACCTCTTACCTGATGTATAATACGTAAATAACAGAAATTTACTTCTTTGCATACTATTAACATCAAATATGCCTAAGTTCTAGTCTTTCGTTCGGATCCTCTCATCAGTCCAAGAAACTAGCCACCACAAATAACCATTGAACTTCATCGAGTGATATATCACAGCGGCGGATCTAGGATTTTCGCGAGGGGGGGGGCGGATTTTCAAAAAAATTTCGAAAATTTTGACGACGTTTTTTTTCAGGTCAATCAAATTGATTTTCTGAGCTGTTGTAAACCACTAAAAACGCTTTTTTGGCCAAAATTTCTGCGCCGCAGGCAAATTTTTGAAAAAACAGGTAAAAAAAAAGCCGTTTTTGGGCACTTTTTGGAAAATTTTGTCAAAAAAATTGCATTTTTTGGCGCGCACTCCCCCTCAAAGTTAGTATATATTGGCGCCCAAGGCTCTTTTAGATAAATTTTAGAGTCGGTCGGCCAAAATGGATTTCTTAAAAAGTACCGAAGTTGGGGACCCTTTGGGTCGGCAGGGGGTGGAATCCCTGATTGGGGGGGGGGGGCGTCCGCCCTCCGTAAATCCGCCCCTGATATATCATATTAAAGCCCTTTTAGTCTTGATTCGAACCACATTATAAAAAAATTCAAAAAATGGTCCCAGTTTTGAAAAAAAACGAGCCAACAGGCTTATTATTCGAAGCAAGGCCGTGAAACTACTCTTCAAGCCCCCAAAAATTTAGTTTTACTCTAGTAAAACTAAATTTGGCAAGATTTTTTAGTGCCATTTTGGGAATAAAAAGTTCAAAAACTCAACAAATTACTGCAAAAATTGAAAACTAAATTTTGATTTTTTTGAAATAGGCCTTCATCTTACCACGCACAAAAAACGGCACTTATCTGGAAAAAAAACTTTTTTGTAGTTTTTTTAAGAATATGGTCGGAACATTCTGTGCTACTTGCACAGTAGCCAGCTATTCTTGTTTACTGTAGTATCTACAAGAAATAATCAACAAGGGGATCTGTAATTGTTCCCTGTGGATCTCCTTTTTCAACTTTCAGTCAGGAGGATTGCATATTGTCCGCTCTTCCGTTACCACTAGCGAGAGCAAGTGAATTTTTCTCAATCTAAGGGAAATTTACTTTGCCTTATGATGAAACCCCGTTAAGTTCTCGACCCTTCAAACTCGGTGTTGTGTTAAAGCGCCGGCCTTGGAATCCTATTGTCTCGAGGTCGAGTTCCCGCGGGACCTTGTTTTTTGATACGTTCGTAAATTGAAAAGTTTTCCTTAGGATGAAGATTTGTCGGACAATTGTTTGTCTGCTTGTTTTTGTCGGCTTACTTTCCAAATTATGCTCTAGCTTTCCAAAATACTTTTGCTCGAGAAAGTGCTAAAAAGAAAACTAATTTTAAAAAAAGTAATACACCGGAAGCCTCAATTCCTCCCCGCTTCCAGCGGTCGGAACAGAAACACACGCAAAGTTTAGACACAGATATTATTATTTGAACATCATTATTGTCGATAATTTCAAGGTTATTATTGTAAATAGTACAGCCTGAGATATGCATCGGAAATATTTCCGTGTTTTCTGGCTCAACAAGAGCCACATTAATATAACCATGCTGTACTATTGAAAATGATATTCTTTGCTCAAAAACTGCTTCCGAAAAAGCTATTTAGTTGCCATTAATACTGAATAATACTTCATTACTTAGGATAAAAAATCAAATTATATTGAGCTAATGTCTTCAGAAACTAAAAAAAAAAACGACTTTTAGCAAAATTACATTTTACCGGCTTCCGCTGCATGAGCACAAGTCACTGCGTAATGAGTGCTTCTAATTTGAGAATGAGACATCTTATATAGAAGTCTTTAATGGGGGCAGGGAGTCCCTTCAACTTGTTTAAGGTAGAGTCCAGACTCTGTAGAGCTCTCTGACCCGGCAAAAGAGCACTGTTGCCGTAAACATCCTTAGCATCATACAGCTCACTCGGGAGGGACTTCCAAAACACGTTCACAGATACACTGAAATGAACAAAGTTTGATAAGAAAATAATCAGACGACCGCGAATTATTGGAGACAAAATCAATTATATGTCATAGAACATTGCCAACAGACACTTGGAAAAGAGTTGATGAATGCAAGGTAAGAAAAAAATACACTGACTTGTTGAAAAAAAACTCAAAGAAAAAATTATATGGCCTTAAAGCTCCTTGAATTTCAACAATTAATGACTGACACGTTTTTGATAAAATTAAACGAATTTGAGAAAGATGGACCAATGGGATCAAAAATTTTTTATTCCGCTGGGATACTTGTACCAATACATCAATCCAATCTTAACGAGAGCTGCAAACAGTTCAAAGAAGTCCAAAAACCAACCTGAAATTTAGGGCTTTGACATTGTGAAACCAGAAAGCAGGAATGAACAGAATATCTCCAGGAGCTAACACGCATTTCCAGGCAGAGCAATTTTTCAAATTAGGAAAAGATTCTACGGAAACATTGTCCAATTCAAACACTCGTGGCTTATCGTCTATAACATAGAGATTCGATACATCTTTTGGTGGAAACAAAAACACTCTTTTCTGGCCATAAATGTGCAACAGGTAGTTGTCCATTGTGTCAAAATGAGTCCACAATTCAACGTCAGCTGATGAAACGCGAAACACACTGGAGAAAAATTGATCTTCTTCGAAAAGAGGCGGAAACTCGACATCCGCTTTCAGTTCGGGGTAATCTACAGCAAAATTAGCCACGTCATCACGTGCAGCTTTAGCCAGACTTCTTAGATAAAAGAAACTTTTGCAGTTCTCGTCAAAAGCATGAGTTAGAAATTCGTCAAACTGGAAGGTCTCATAGGTAAAATTCCGTGGCTGAAACTTCAAAACAGGATGGTCGCTTTTATGCACTGTAACGTGTTTGTCGCCCATTGTGTTTCGGAGGTAATCGGGCGTCCATTGCAAACACTTTCCGATGTCAAATCCTTCTATTATGGCAGGACTGCTCAACTCCTTGGGATCAAAGTCGTCTATTTTTAAACGTGGCACAGCAGTACATGGAAGTTGGTTCATCGATGAGAATCTGAAGTCGTTTAAGAAAAAAGACGAAACCAATTTGTCATGCATTTAACCTTATTCTAATGAGCAAAATTAGCCAACAATCTGGCTAAACATAGAAGTGCAGCTGCAGCAAAAAAGTTAATGCTGACGAAAATGCAAAATTTAGAATTCAAGAGGATAAAAGATTTGACGAAAACTAAGAAACACTTGCCGATAAACCGCAGCATCCACACGATGAAACAAAAACATCAGACACCATTCGGAATCGATCCCCGAGCTACCGTTTCCAGATGACGCACACTAAACATCATTGCTCCCACAAAATTAAAATATTCATTCAACTTACATTTTTAAAAAGCAATTGTAGGACAATACAAATTTAGCAATTTCACTCAAACTCTTGTTTAGAACTTTTTATATAAATAGCAATTTCTGCCTAGTTCGATAGCTTTTTACTTAAGAAAAGACAACCAGAAACTTTGTAGGAAATCAATGTTTTTTTCAAGGTATTTCCGATACTATTATATTTTTCACATAGATTAAAATCTATATATTCAAAATCATGGAGGTCGAAGATTCACTGCTATTTGCACAGTATTCGACCATCCTTGTTTCAACTAATGTCTTTTCAGTGATAAATATAAATGTATCAGAACTTGGGCTATATTTTTGATTCGCATGTTAAGTCAGAAAAATTGTATAGACCTTTTTAATCGATTAAGCCTTACTTATTTCTTCGTCTATTTAAAAAAAAGTGATTTAAATCAACTAATAAAACTGCAGAACGATAAGTTATTCCGGCTTAAGAAACGTAAAATTACAGTTTATTCAAAATGAAAGTAATCAAAATTGAAGTCGGGGTCATCAAATTGCATATGTGCAGTCTAAGAATTGGGATCAAAACTTCAATTTTGAATCTAAATCACAATTGAAAAGGCTTAATTATGATACCACATTTAACCCGTCCCGGCTTTTCTTCAGGTAGTTATAGTGGATGTGATATCCTATACGGTATCTCGTTGGAAAACTAGTTGATAATTCAAGAATGTATTCTTTGTAGCTTGAATTAATTGTTTTCTCTGTTTTATAGCCACTGAGAGTGATACAACTAATGTCTTTTCAGTGATAAATATAAATGTATCAGAACTTGGGCTATATTTTTGATTCGCATGTTAAGTCAGAAAAATTGTATAAACCTTTTTAATCGATTAAGCCTTACTTATTTCTTCGTCTATTTAAAAAAAAGTGATTTAAATCAACTAATAAAACTGCAGAACGATAAGTTATTCCGGCTTAAAAAACGTAAAATTACAGTTTATTCAAAATGAAAGTCATCAAAATTGAAGTCGGGGTCATCAAATTGCATATGTGCAGTCTAAGAATTGGGATCAAAACTTCAATTTTGAATCTAAATCACAATTGAAAAGGCTTAATTATGATACCACATTTAACCCGTCCCGGCTTTTCTTCAGGTAGTTATAGTGGATGTGATATCCTATACGGTATCTCGTTGGAAAACTAGTTGATAATTCAAGAATGTATTCTTTGTAGCTTGAATTAATTGTTTTCTCTGTTTTATAGCCACTGAGAGTGATACAACTAATGTCTTTTCAGTGATAAATATAAATGTATCAGAACTTGGGCTATATTTTTGATTCGCATGTTAAGTCAGAAAAATTGTATAAACCTTTTTAATCGATTAAGCCTTACTTATTTCTTCGTCTATTTAAAAAAAAGTGATTTAAATCAACTAATAAAACTGCAGAACGATAAGTTATTCCGGCTTAAAAAACGTAAAATTACAGTTTATTCAAAATGAAAGTCATCAAAATTGAAGTCGGGGTCATCAAATTGCATATGTGCAGTCTAAGAATTGGGATCAAAACTTCAATTTTGAATCTAAATCACAATTGAAAAGGCTTAATTATGATACCACATTTAACCCGTCCCGGCTTTTCTTCAGGTAGTTATAGTGGATGTGATGTCCTATACGGTATCTCGTTGGAAAACTAGTTGATAATTCAAGAATGTATTCTTTGTAGCTTGAATTAATTGTTTTCTCTGTTTTATAGCCACTGAGAGTGATACAACTAATGTCTTTTCAGTGATAAATATAAATGTATCAGAACTTGGGCTATATTTTTGATTCGCATGTTAAGTCAGAAAAATTGTATAAACCTTTTTAATCGATTAAGCCTTACTTATTTCTTCGTCTATTTAAGAAAAAGTGATTTAAATCAACTAATAAAACTGCAGAACGATAAGTTGTTCCGGCTAAAAAAACGTAAAATTACAGTTTATTCAAAATGAAAGTCATCAAAATTGAAGTCGGGGTCATCAAATTGCATATGTGCAGTCTAAGAATCGGGATCAAAACTTCAATTTTGAATCTAAATCACAATTGAAAAGGCTTAATTATGATACCACATTTAACCCGTCCCGGCTTTTCTTCAGGTAGTTATAGTGGATGTGATATCCTATACGGTATCTCGTTGGAAAACTAGTTGATAATTCAAGAATGTATTCTTTGTAGCTTGAATTAATTGTTTTCTCTGTTTTATAGCCACTGAGAGTGATACAGCAGTTCAGACTCTGAGCTCTTAGCTGTGTGCCAATGTCTCTGCTCTAGTGACCTTGGACACATCTTAATAATAATAATTAATACCACTGAAGGTTATTATTACATCATGCAATTACTGCTATGCATGAAGAGTTTAATACACTCAGTTCAATAAGAGTTTTCGAATTTTGAAGATTTTTAATTGCAGAATTTCAATTTCTTTAATTTTCCTCCAGGTCGATTCTCCAGCAAGGGTTCCAATCCACTCCTTTGTCCAGCGTTGCATGGCCGAATTTTCTCCTGAATAAGTGTCTTTCTAGGAGGCGTAATTTTGACTCCGTAGGCCTGTCGCTTCGTTCTTGGAAGTTCGTTAATAGTCGTCGATACTCCTGGAGTGCGGCTTTTAGGAGTGCTCCCCCTGTTAACTCCTCTGATACTTCCTTGATGGAATGTTTGACCGGGTCCCCAAACCTTTTTGGCTCCTTGCTCTTAGTCTGTCTTGAGCTTCTTCGGACCCCCCGATTCTGCGACGCTTGAAGAGGTTCGAATCTCGTATCCCGTTCGGATGCTGGCTGGTCATGTCCCCTGAGGTCGTCCGCGACTTTTTGAACCCCCCTCTTGAGAAGTTGGTCCGCCAAACTCTCCCACTCTGCTGGTACCAGGTTTCGGTTTTGAAATTTGTCTAGAATGTCCTCAAGTCGAGTTTCAGATCTTATTGATCCCGGAATTGGTCAGATCGTATTGATCCCGGAATGCCATGTGTGTCTATGTAGGATCGCAAAAATTTTACCGTACACTTTCTAAAACTTAGTAAACGGATACAAGGATTTCCAAAATCCAGGACTTTTCCAGCAAAGAGCAGGTTGTGACCGCATAAGCATAGAAGATTCCAAAAACCGAGTTTTCCGATTGAACAACCTGAGAACTGGCACGGTAGTTTTCGCGTAAAGTCTAAAAGTTTGCAAAAAAAACTGTCAACGTTTCAAAACTTCGACTTGTTTATAGCCCATAACTTTGTTCTTAAATAAACTAGGCAATGATCGCCAGTTATAAAGGTAGGCTTTTAACAACTTGTTTTCTAGCCCATAACTTTGTTCTGAAACAAACTAAGCATAGCCAGTTATAAGCAGAGAAGGTTCCAAAAACCGTGTTTCTCGATTGAACACAACCTGAGAATTGGGCCGGGAGTTTTCGCGTTAAGTCAATAAGTGTCCAAAAAAACTGTCAAAGTTTCAAAACTTCGACTAGTTTGAGGCTATAACTTTTTAAAAACAAAATGACCATCGCTAATTTGAAGTGTGGGCTTTCAGCAACCTGTTCATTTGATTGAACCTATTAAATCAGATTTGGCAGGACAGTTAGCGAGAAAACTCAAACAAAAGGTCATTAAATCAAAAATTTGACAATTCTGAGAATCATAGCTTTTTGTGTGAAAAAAATCGACAGAAATTTCATTCAGAAGGGATTCAAACAATCTGTATTTTCGATTGAACCCAAAATTTCAGATTTGGAAGGATATTTTTCGAAAAATGTCAAAAACTTTAAAAAAACGGCCACAAAATCAAAACTTTTACTTTTCCGAGGGGCAAAACTTTTGGAGTCAAAAGATTTGTGCGTAGGCGCATAAGCTATTGAACTTCTCGAGACCCGTTGTGACAATTCAAACCCAAAATTCTCAGGTATGACATGGTAGTTTTTGAGAATACTCGAAAAATTAAAAAAAAAAACGGTCAAAAAATTGAACTTTCAGAGGGCGATAACTTCTTGTGTAAAACTTTATGTTAGTGTCCGCTAATGCAGAGGAGCTTTCCACTACCTGTTATCTCCTTGAATCCACAGTATCAGATTTGAGAGGTTAGTTTTCAAGAAAAATCAAAAAGATTCACAAAATATTTGCGAGGAACGAAACTCAAAACGAAAAAAAATCTGGGTCAATATTCAGCCACACTTTTGCGAAGGCCAATCATGAACCTAATAAAATCGATGTTTTCATTCTGAAACAAATAAGACTGCTGATCTATTTTGGCGATTCTTCATCACAATTTTATAAAAAAACTGTCTATGCAGCTGGCAAATCATATGCAACTCTGAACTGTAGAAGCACTTGGCGAACAGTATAAAAGAAATTCAAGAAATCCCACCGGGGGAAAAATCTGGAAATCCGCAACGGCAATTTTTTTGCAGAATAAAAAATTTTGACTCTTCTTTTAAACTGTTTCATGGGTGATCAACGCGGCTTGGGCGTAGCTGCATATGCAAAGAGCTTGTAAAAACCGTTCTATTCATTGAAACGAAAAACTCAAATTTGAGAGGGTTAGTTATCGAGAAAACGAAAAAATATATAAATATATGGGTCAAATATTCCCCCAGACTTTTTCGAAGGCTGTAGACATAGGGGTCAAGTGAAAAGAGACTCTTTGGGAGTATGGACGCACACATAAAAATTGGCGGTCTTTCCCTTTTTTGAAAAAAAAATAATTTTCATAGAAAAACCTAAATTTTTGCAAAAAGTGAAAAGTTTGCAAAATGAAAAAAAATGAAATTTTAACAAACCGATTGCTGAACAAACAACCAACTTGAAAAAAAAAGAGGAGAGGAGTGATGAAATTGTGTTTATCTTGAAAGAGCCACAAATTACGTCGTAACGCCGATGAAAAATAAGCCGAAAAATTTTGGCCGAGGAAGTTTTCTAGCGAAACAAAAAAAGATAAGGAAATACCAAGTCAAGGTAAGTAAAATTACAAAATGTGGGCGTAAACTAAACACTTAAAACAGCATTACAGAAATTACGCACAGAAAAGAAGCAATTCCAAAATGTGACAACTATGCCGACAACAGGCAAATAATTGGCCGACAATTAATTTGAAACAGATTTTTTTATTTGAAAAAAAACAGGTCCTGGTGAGATTCCAACCCAGGACCTATGCAGTCCCAGGCTTATTCGTTACCTCCAGGCGAAGTTAGCCGGAAACGCTAACAATTTTGACACAGAGGCGAAGCTGAGTTTCGCACTAGTTGCGATACAATACAAACATAAAATTACATGAGTCAAAAAAAAATTTTAGATGTTGAAAAAAAAACTAGGTGAACCAAAATATTCGTCAGTCTCGATGAAGAATAACCAGAGGCCCAGCGTAAGCTGGAGGTGCGTGTTAAATATTGAATTAGTTTGCTATACTGATGCGGCACAAAAGTAGGATTTCAAAAATTGGACTTTGTCTAACGCATCCCTACTAAAATGAGTCAGACGATTAAGAAATTTCGAGATGAAAATTTTCCCAACAAAAAATTTCTCTTACAAAAAAATTGAGGAATCGCTGCTTCTGCAGAACAATTATCACAACCCGTTCTTTCAATGGAACTTTTCATTTCAGATTTGAAAATTCAAAGAGTTACTAAAAAGCGGTCAAAAGACTTTTCAAAATCCACAACTATTTTCTGCAAACAGCAAGTTATAGTCGCTCAAGCACAGAAGTTTTCTAACGCCGAGTTTCTCGATTGAACAATCTGAGAATTGGCCCGGTAGTTTTCGCGTCAAGTCAAGTTTCCGAAAAAAACTGTCTAAGTTTCATAATTTGGACTTGCTTGAAGGCCATAACTTTTTTAACAAACTGGGCATAGCGAACTTGAAAGGAAGGCTTTCAAAAACCCGTTCATTTGAATACCTATAAGATCAGATTTGGCAGGATAGTTAGCGAGAAACGTCAAAAAAAAAACGTTCAATAAATCAATTATTTGACGATTCAGAGAATCTTAGCTTTCTGTAGGAAAAAAAAACAATTATGCAGAAAGGTTATGTAGAAGGAAATACCGCAATCTGCTATTTTGACTGAACCCAAAATCTCAGATTTGGAAGGGTAGTTTTCGGGAAAAGTCAAAAACTTTCAAGAAAACGGTCAAAAACAAAATTTTTTTTTCCGAGTCAACACTTTTGGAGTCAAAAAATTTGGGCGTGGTAGCATAAACAAATGAACTTCCCGAAGCCCGTTCTGAGAATTGAACCCAAAAATCTCAGGTATGGCAGAGTAGCTTTCGAGAATACTCAAAAAGTTTTGAAACACGTTCAAAAAATCAAAAATTTGTTTTTTCCGAGGGCGATAACTTTTTGTGTAAAATTTTATGTTAGAGTCCGCTAATGCCGAGGAGCTTTTCGCTACCCGTTATCTCATTGAAGCCACAAAATTAGATTTGGGAGAGTAGTTCTCGAGAAAAGTCAAAATCTTAAAAAAAAGGTCTCAAAATCAAAATTTTTTACTTTTCCGAGGGCCAAAACTTTTGGAGAAAAAAAATTGGTCGGTCGTAGTCGCATAACCAATGTTATTCAGAAGGAGATCCCGCAATCTGCAATTTTGACTGAACCCAAAATCTCAGATTTGGAAGGGTAGTTTTCGGGAAAAGTCAAAAACTTTCAAAAAAAACGGTCACAAAAACAAAATTGTACTTTTCCGAGTCAAAACTTTTGGGGTCAAAAAATTTGGGCATGGTAGCATAAGCAAATGAACTTCCCGAAGCCCGTTCTGAGAATTGAACCCAAAATCTCAGGTATGGCAGAGTAGCTTTCGAGAACTCAAAAAGTTTTGAAACACGTTCAAAAAATCAAAAATTTGTTTTTTCCGAGGGCGATAACTTCTTGTGTAAAATTTTATGTTAGAGTCCGCTAATGCCGAGGAGCTTTTCACTACCCGTTATCTCATTGAAGCCACAAAATTAGATTTGGGAGAGTAGTTCTCGAGAAAAGTCAAAATCTTAAAAAAAAAAGGTCTCAAAATCAAAATTTTTTACTTTTCCGAGGGCCACAACTTTTGGAGAAAAAAAAATTGGTCGGTCGTAGTCGCATAACCAATGTTATTCAGAAGGAGATCCCGCAATCTGCAATTTTGACCGAACCCAAAATCTCAGATTTGGAAGGTTAGTTTTCGAGAAAAGTCAAAAACTTTTTAAAAAAAACGGTCACAAAAACAAAATTGTACTTTTCCGAGTCAAAAACTTTTGGAGTCAAAAAATTTGGGCGTGGTAGCATAACCAAATGAACTTCCCGAAGCCCGTTCTGAGAAATGCAACCAAAACCTCAGGAATGGCAGGGTAGTTTTCGAGAATAATCAAAAAGTTTAGAAACACGGTCAAAAAATCAAAAATTTGTTTTTTCAGAGGGCGATAACTTTTTGTGTAAGACTTTTTGTTAGTGTCCGCTAATGCAGAGGATCTTCCCACTACCTGTTATCTCATTGAACTCAATATCAGATTTCAGAGTTAAGTTTTCGAGATAAATCCACAAAACAGTCAAAAATAAAAAAAAAATGACATTCTGAGGCCCATAACTTTATGCGCAAAATTTTAAAACAGTTCTATCCATAAAACCAACAACTCAAAATTCGAGAAAATCAAAAAAAAATAAAACTGTGGGTCAAATTATCCTCCACACTTTTTCGAAGGCTGTATACAGAGGGGTCAATAAAACAAAAAGACTCTAGGGGAGTATGCAGGGAGGCAGAGAAATAAGCGGTCTTCCAATTGATACCACTTTTTTGAAAAACTGAATTTTCTGAGAAAAACTAACTTTTACAAAATGAAAAAATTTTCCAAAACAAAAAAAACTTTCCAACAAACAGACTGGTAAACATACAACCAACTTGATAAGTGCGGAGGGGAGGGCTATAATTATCTTCGCCTTGAAATGTCCAAATTAGGTCATTAAACTAATGAAAAATAAGGCCAAAATAATTTTGGCCGAGGAAATGATTTTAGCGGAACAAAAAAAACAAATTAGGAGTTAAAAATATAGGCGTAAATCAAACCCTAAAAACATTTTAAAAAAACGCGTAGAAAAATAAACAATTACAAGATGGGAGAACTAAGACAACAGCTAAGCAGACAAATTGAAACCTGTTTGAAACAAAAAACAGATCCTGGTCAAACTTAATCCCAGGACCTTTCCCGTCAAAGGCATATTCGTCACCTCCACGCTAAGTTGGCTAGGAAATCTCAGAAAATTTGAGCATAAGTCTTAGCTACGTTCAGTGACTCTAAAAATCCATAAATGTAAGAATTTTGGAAAAATTTATCAAATAGTATCACTACAGAAGTGTTGCATGTGATATCTGAACAAAACAAAAATAAGCTGAAAAAACGTATAAAAGTTCATTAACTTCCTACCTTCATTTCGGACAATGTTAATAAACAGCCAGAACAAGCAATGAAAATCAATTACCGCTCAACTACTAAGGCGAGAAAACTTCTCGAACTTCGTTCAGGCAAAAAATAAACTGTAGACAAAAATAATATTCAAGCTATAAATTTTTTTTCGGACCTTCTACGCCCCCTCTCTTCTGACACAGTCAAAAGCATTACCAACAATTCGTAGTTGAAACTCGACAATACAGGTGGGTCTCGCCGATATAACATAAGCCAAACCCGTTCAATCGAATAAAATTCCTTTAATCAGAATTGGTTAATTATGCAATTACAGTATTTATCAATTATAGCAAAAACTGTTTACACAAAAAATGAAAAACCTATAATTTGGAAAATTAATACTATCTTAAATGTGAACGAAAAAGTTTTTGCATGGGAAAATCAATGAATAGCTCAAATCCAAAGTCGAAATGGGCATTTCTTGATAATTTCGTTCAGATTCTTCGATCGAATAGGATATTGGCATTAACTTGACTGTAACTATAAATTGACAGTACTCTTGAAAATTTTCCAATCTAGCACTTTTATTTGCACTTCATTTAACGACACTTCTCGCAAACAGGATTGTGTAAGCTGAAACAGTCCTGTTTCAATTTCTCCAAGTCATTTTACACAGAGGCAACACTTCGCAAAGAGGCAACACTTGGCGAGAAAACGGCAAAAAGTAGCTACGGCAGAAAATGGAAAAAGGTTAAAATAAGCGTTGAAAATTTGCTAAGTGCCGGAATCGATCCTCCCACCTGGTGATAGGTGATTAGGAGTCACGTACTCGCATCTTTCCCGGTCACCCTGATAAAGCAACTATAAATGCTATTTAAATACAAAGGCTATCCATATAAAAAAGGAGCACTAAATTTGTGAGTTAGGTTGGAAAAAATAACACTATCCACGCTAATTTTCACAACAGTTATTTGTAAATTGTTGTAAATCTTTCATGCTTATAAGGGACTAATATCTAAGATCTTATGGATTGCCGGATACTCCAAGTTCAGTTAAATTTTACTCGACTTTCGATTTTAGAAGACAATGTCGAGGGACAAAGTGAATTTCACATACCAAAAAAGTCAGCAGTCACACTAAATTCATTCAACACATGCTTTACAAATTAACTTAAAATAGAAGCAGCTCAGTGGTAGAAACAGTCAAGTCAAAGTACATATGACTAAGGACACTCAAAGGTCAAGCACACCGTCCATTTGACAAGTTGCACGCAACTAGTTTCCATCAATTCCACAGCAAGGGTTCGTTCACTTCAGTTAGGTAGGGAGAGAGAGTAGATTAGTTAGCTTTTCGGGGACGTTTGTGAAGTTCAGAGCTGCCCGCAGTCCTCAATCACTACCTTCTGAGAAGTCTTTCCGCTCTGAGATCCCACCTTAAATAGAAAATAAATTCATAGCGGCCAAAGCAAACATTACAGCGATGCTTTTCATATAAATTTCGTTCTTGGAAATGATTGATATATTAGATTCAGGCGTCAAAATGAGTGGTTAAGGGTTCATTGACCGAAAAGCTCACTTCATGCAAATTATTGACTGAACATTCAACTGCTTGCTAATTAACATTGTATAAATAAAAACGCCTCCTTGTCTGAGTCTAATGGTCAGAATTTTTCCTCTGTAGCTCACCTTTTCAATCTTTTCCACGACGTCCAAGCCCTCCACGACGGATCCGAACACGACGTGTTTTCCATCCAGCCAGGCTGTCTTGGCCGTGCAGAGGAAGAACTGGGACCCATTGGTGTTGGGGCCCGCATTGGCCATCGACAGGATTCCTACACAACACAGATGCTCACTTTTGCATTCAACAGACAATCCTCTCTTAGAAGTATATACAAACATATCTGATGAATTCCCATGCTAACACTGCGAAAAAGAAATTATAGTCAACTGCATAATTTGTGCTAATTACAGATTTGAGTTTCAAATCAGCCACTTCGGTGGAAACATTCTGCGCACTCAAGAATCCATATCGAGCAGAACTTCCTCTAAGATAAAAATCATGCTGTAATGGTACTACTATAGTTTCTAGCTGAAGTAAGGAGCAACTACTAAGAATGAGTCAGAAGCAGACAGCTCTGAATATACTCACCCTTTCCAGTGTGGGTGAGTTGGAAGTTCTCGTCTGCGAACTTCTCCCCGTAGATGCTCTTGCCTCCAGTTCCATCTCCTCGTGTGAAGTCTCCGCCCTAATCACCAAACAATTAGTGAGAAATAACAAATTTACCTATCTATACACGATGCCCATACTAAATTTTTTCACGTGACATTCCAGACGTGTAATTTATCATCATGGTGGGTTGGAAATTTCAGTTCTAACAATTGAATATCAAGAAAACTTGTTCAAGCTACAGTGATTGTCTCACTTTGCTCTTCGCCGGGGAAAACCATGTTTAATCTTTCTTTTTATATAAGAACTGGTTATGTCATTGAACTTGTTCTAACCTGGCACATGAAGCCGGGGATGACTCGGTGGAAGGCGGATCCCTTGAAGCCGAAGCCCTTCTCGCCAGTGCACAGTGCTCGGAAGTTGTCGGCTGTCTTCGGCACAACATCCGCTCTCAGATCCATCACTATTCTTCCAGCCTTCGAGCCTCCGATGGCAATGTCAAAGAAACACCTGGGAGGCATTGCGGGTGATTTTCTTCAGTTAAGAATAGGTTAAGTTAGAGAGATAGAGAGAGAATAAATAGGTCGAGCAATGAAAAGAAGTAACGAGCGAGCGACAGAGCAAATAGTTAGCACAACAGCTATCTGAAACGCAAACAGTAAATGACTCAAACGGACAACTCAACTTTTCTTCAATTAATTAAGTACCAACAAAGCGGCGTGGCTGGTAGTCGCACTCATTTCTCAATTCATGATCAAAGACAAAACCACTAGTTATGTATTACATTTACTCGTCTATCGTCACTTAGAATGATTGCAAGCAAGAAGTTCGTTCGATCAACTTCAGGTGACTTTTAAAAAACGTCAACTAAAAAACTATGAACTACGAATAAATTATGCATAAATTAAAAGCAGATATAGTGAAATATGGAGACATAAAATCACTTGTCCTGCTACAAATCAAACTAAACATACATTGCATCTCATCGATTTGGAAAAAGTAAACCCTGAACTGTAAGAGAATGTAATCTATGTCCAACGTTTTGAGATGTTTTAGTTAATAAATAAACTGCAACTGTTGTCTCTGCTGAGTTGATTGGCTAAGGTACTCGTACACGTGGTGCTATGTTACAGTAGTAGTAGTAGTAGTAGTAGTAGTAGTAGTATTAGAGTCTTTATCTATCTGGTTATCTGTCTCTGCTATCTCGACTATGACTGCGTGTCTGTCGACAGTTTCTCCACTCCCAAACAACACACATTCCACAATTCCACTCCTGGGCGCCTTAATTGTGTACTAAAACAGAACACAGCATACAAATATCGAGGCAATTAGCATAAAGATAAAAAGTCGGTCAGATACTCTTATCCGATCATACTCTATTCTGCTGAGGCAATGATGGTTTGTAAGAACGAGCATTCAATTTGCCACAAGCTTCAGGTCTACCTCAAAATGTCCGAGATCGACTTAAATAATGCGATACTTCTCTAGCTATATCTGTTTAGCTATATCTTTTTATCACTACAAATAGAGATTTCAACGCACTTCTTAATAAAAAATCTTGAATTCTACCTGAAACAAATTTTTTGTGTATTATTTCACCGATTAATATAAATATAGGCAAAAAAAGTATTTGCAGCTTATAACTTTTTATTTACCTCCATTTTCATGGCTGTCATTATAACCAGAGGATCGTTCTTCTTAATAACGTCTCCCACTTTGACCAGGATCTTGTCGATGATTCCAGTCATGGGAGCGACTGCCGCCTTCTCAGTTGAAGCAGTCGATGCCTCGTCTCCTGAACTTATCTTCTGTACTGGTTCTACTTTGAACTCCACTATTTCGGAGGATCCATGCGGCAATATTGACACCACATCACCGGTCAAGTCCGCTCCAAAGGAAACTAGTTGGTCCCCGATTCGACATCTGATTGATTTCAAAGTATCAAGCGACTGCAAATCAGTAGCAGAGGTCAAAAGCTGGCATATAATTGTTTCATTGTTCATCTCGACTGCAAAGTCGCCATTACGCTTGAAAGTGACTTTAGGACTCAAAACATCTGAAACACAATCTTTTTCTCTGCACTAACAATTTTGAACAATAAGTAATGAATTTTTCGGAGAGTTCGGTACCTTCGCCGGAAGAGAGTTTCAATTTAAAAGTCTCCACTGCCTCTGAATTCACTCGAAAGTTTTTGAGAAGATCCCAAGCTGATCCTAAAACGCACTGATATTTTCTTTTCAATTTCAATGGAAAAAAATGTTGTTCTCAGCGACATAATGATTAAGAGTTTCCTCAGAGAACACATGCAAATCAACTTGTTTTCTTGTTTTTTTTTAAACCTGAGATGATCTTGTTCGTTATTACGACAGTAGCTTTCATATAAGTTACCAATCTATTCTGCTTTAGGATAGTCGCTTCCAATGAAATGCCACCAACCGGGCTGAATAAAAAGGCTAGGTATACAACTTCCACATTTGGAAAAATGCTAATCATACAACATACATCTGTAGATTTAACAAAACCTCTAACTCGAGACTAATATAAACTCTATGAATTAATGTCTCATTATAATGTATACTCAAATTTTGCACCTGATTTGGGAGCATGTATTCTTCGGTTGAGAATGAGTGCTAGACACGCTTTACAGATATTGTGAAGCACTCTCTCCTTCGACATTTCCCGAGAAGGGAAGAGTGAGTCATAGTTGTCGGGGATGAAATCGGTGTTCACTTCTCCACGTACAAACGACTCGTGAGTAGCGAGCGACTTCAGAAAGCCGATGTTCGTTTTCAACCCCAGAATCTGAAACAACATATAGCCCTTTAACAGGGAAAAAAACCTTCAAAAAATTTTATTTAAATTCTCATCTTGAAAAGCACTCAAAACCCTTGTCTTTCGAGAATTCTATATGTATCTAAAGTATAAGTCTGATTCGTTATAATGAAAAACTTAGTGAATAATTATTTATGATGTTGACTTACTTGGTAAGTGTCAAGACATGATGCCAGTTTTCTCAGAGCAAGATTTCTGTCCTGAGACCATACGACCAGTTTGGCGATCAACGGATCATAATGCACTGTCACTTCGTCTCCTAAATCATCTTCAACAAGTCAACAACGAAGACTAGAACCGAAATTCTGGGCCAAAATAGAAGCAATTTCTTAAAATTTACAAAGCAGAGACAAATTATTTATACCAACAGAGCCAAAAAACCGCTCGTAGAAGAATTCCGAACAAAAAACTACAACTATTCTCATCACACAGCAGCTGAATTGTCAAGTTCTAATTTTGAGGATGCCAATAGTCAGGTAACTCGAAAAGAGAAAAATTCTGTAAATTCTGTAATTGTTCCGACCATTGAAAATAGGGAGGAAATTTGTATTCTGTTGTTTTATTTTTTTGTTTTTCACGCAAAATCAGGTACCACAAACATTAATCGGAATTGGTCGAAAGATATATCATATTAGTGCCCTTTCAGTTGTGATTCGAACAACCTTTAAACAAATTCGGGAAAATCTTCTCGGTGTTGAGAAAAACCGCTTTAAAATTTGTCTAACTTCGATCTAATAAGGTGAACGTGCAGATTTACAATAGCTTATTTATGCTATTTATTTATTTTGAGCCGTAAGAACTTAGTTTCACTCGTGCAAAGTTAATTTTTTGGAAATAAAAAAAACAGTTTTCCAAGTTGCCTGTTTTACTATGACTGTACAATATGCTTCAGGTCTATTTTTTGTTCAGATTTTTTTTATCACACCACGCAGACAACAATTTCGTCTTTTTTTCAAAAAAACTATGGCCGGAACATTCTGTGCAACTAGCACAGTAACCCGCTGCTATCCTTGTTTTTCAGGCAAAATCAGGCACCACAAATAATCATCGGACTGGGTCGAGTGATATATCATATTGAAGCCATTTAAGTCGTAATTCGAAAACGGTTTAAAACTTCGATTTTTCGTCTAATTACGAGCGAGCGAGCAGGCTTACAATAGCTAATTTATACTGATTTCAATCAAGCCTTGATAATTTAGTTTTACTCAAGTAAAGTTAATTTTCGGATTTTTAATGAAATCTTAGTAATTTTCAATTTTTTTTTTAAATTTTTTAAACAATTTTTTCTCGTTTTCCTAGTAATTTTTCATCAATACTGTTTTCCAATTTGCCGGTTTTACTATGAATATCTTATATGCCTTAGTTCTAGTTTTCCGTTCAGATCCTTTCATCACACCACGCAGAAAAAACGACATTAATTTTTAAAAAATTTTGTTCGTAATTTTTAAAGACTATGGTCGGAACATTTTCTGCTACTTGCACATTAACAAGCTATCCTTTTTTCATTTTTTGTTTACTACGCCAAATCAGCCACTACAAATAATAATCGGAGAGAGCTGATAGATAAATCATATTAAAGCACTTTCAGTCTTGATTCAAACGAAATTTAAAAATTTCGAAAAGATTTTCCAAGTGTTGAGAAAAATCGGTTTGAAATTTTTGATTTTTGTCTAACTTCGAGCGATTGAGTAGACTTATATTAGCTTATCTATGTTTAATTTAAGCCTTGAAAATTTATGTAAAGCTAGTTTTGGGAGTTTTTAGCGGCATCTTACTAATCCACAATTTCAAAAATTCGAAAACTTTGCGAAAAAAATTTGAAAAACTTTTAGAATACTTTTCCCAATTTGCTTTGTAAAATACTTTTCCCACTTTTAGAATACTTTTCCTAAATACGGTTTCCCAATATACCTGCTTTACTATGTCGAAGTTCTAGTTTTTCGTTCAGATCTTTTTATCACACCACGCAGTAAAAATGACAAAAATTTGAAAAAAGTTTTTTTTCCGCATTTTTAACTAGTTTAGAAGGAACATTTTGTGCTACTTACACAGTAACCGGATATCCTTGACAAAAATTTGAATCGCTTCATATTTCTTACCGCAGGCAAAATTATGCAATCACTTTCAAACAAAACATTTGCCAGTGCACAAAAAACTAATTCCTAGTCGATTGTCTCATCAATCAAAAACAGGTCAGGTGCATTACGTATCAGCTGAACTAACTGACCTTCAGTGACCCCAGTTTCGATTCTGACCTCGTTCTCTACTGGTGTGGGCGCCACTAGCCTCTTGAGCACCCCTGCTCCCGGCATGAAGTTATTGTCTGGATCCTCGGCGTATATTCTGGCTTCGAATGAGTGTCCGTTTACCTTCAACTGATCTCGAGTGAGTGGAAGCTTTGATCCTTCCGCGACCTGAATGAAAAAGATGCAGTGATAAACAGCAAAACACGTTGGGATTGACAAATTTATTCAAGAGTGCATTTAACCTATTTAGAAACAATTTTGCACGTAACAGTAATTTTTTCAATTTATATCGCAAGTTATTCTTTACATGCACACTTTGTTGGGAATTTGGCAGATTGCTTTTTGAGATGAAAGCGGTCTACTTGAACGTTTGTCATACTTTATGACTATGAGAAAAAGCAATGTTTGTTGAAACATTCGAGCTCATTCTAAATTCGACTCCTTTTGCAAGGCCCACTCAACATCATCTTTGCCAACAGAGACTTGAAATGAGGCTCTAACTAGTATAGAAGTGTCTACTTGAGTTACTTGCTAAGGCTAACTGACCTTGAACTGCCACTCAACTAAGTCCTGTCCTGTGATCATCTCAGTGATTGGGTGTTCCACTTGCAGTCTAGTGTTCATCTCCATGAAGAAGAAGTTCAACTCACTGTCCATCACAAACTCAACTGTACCTACAATAATTCACTTCATCTCAGTCGGGTCAGAACAGCACTTCAAAGTCAGCCCAAATTAGAATCATATTTATAGTTCGAACTTTTATAGTTTTCCGAAATGATGTAATGTGCACTAATTTCGACGAAAAGCCATCACACAAAACGAGATTTCAGAGTCAGTACTAATGTTTTCAGAACGACCATTTTCACGGAAAAATTGGAAATGACGCACATTTAGAAAAATAAAGTATTTTCAGTAATTCGATTGGGGTTGAAAATCAAAATGACTAATCTAAAAAACGCATCGAAACGGTCTACAGAATTGAAGCTGAAAGTGAAGAGAACTTACTGCTGTTGTAAAGCCTAAATTCCTACTGTATGTTTGATAAAGAATAAGAAAAGGTACCTGCTCCGACGTAGTTGACAGCTTTAGCAGCCTTCACTGCAACCTCTCCCAGCTGCATAGCCACGTCCCGAGGAACACCTGGCTAAACACGCAGAACACAAGCACATTAACCAGTAGTAGCAGAAAAAAGTAGTAGTAAGCAGCGGTGACATGATGCCAGCATGTCTCCATAAATCAACTGAGGCAACTCGAAAAAGGAACGAAGATATGGGATCATTTTTATATCAAGGATCAAATCTCTCGCGCCAATAGCTAATTGGTAGTAGGAAAACCCTCACCTTAAACTAATCATAATGAAAAATATACCATCTATCGTTGGTTTGATTTGAGCAACGAGTAGTCATTTAGTCAGTGACTGAATGAGTAGTCAATGATGAGTGAGTTACTCACAGCAGGGGCCTCCTCGATGATCTTCTGGTGTCTCCTCTGCACACTGCAGTCCCTCTCGAACAGGTGCACTCCATTGCCCCACAAGTCACACAACACCTGCACCTCCACGTGTCTACACACAACACACACAGAGAAACATTACGGAGCGTGGTAGGGGTTTGGGGCCATTGAAACAGGTGATTGGTATATTGAGGGCTGTTGAACCACTTAGGACTTTCGTTGGGGTCACTTGCGTCAAGTCTGTTGAGGTAGGAATAAAGTACGCTGCAATTAGCTGGAGCGTAGTTGGGCGAGGCTGGAATGTGCCTGTCAACTTAGTGAGAGTTCAATTGGGGAGACCAGTGGTCAATTTTATGCCTAGAAATTGACGGGGCAATATCGATTATTTTATGAATTGCGTTCCGTGCTTTTGATATTATGAGCGAAGAACATCTGGTCTGTCCCAATTCGTTTCCCAGGAATCTCTAATAGAGCTACTAGCATGCAGATGTGTTTCTAACCTGGGCTTCACCACAAACTTCTCGATGAGCATCTCGTCATTTGCAAATGCCTTCCTCGCTTCACTCTTCGCACTCTCCAGCATGGCCACAAACTCACTCTCACACTGCACAATACGCATCCCCTTGCCCCCTCCCCCTCTCACCGCCTAGAAAAATGATGCATGCCAAGTTTCAATAATCATTCATGCAGCAATGCTTCAACCGAATAGATAACCACTCTTTTCCTGATTTTGAAAATATCCAACGTTAGCATAGTTTGCCCTAAATTTCTGTTTATTGCCCTAAGATAAAATAGTTATACACAAAGCGAACCGCAGCTTCGCACCACTTGCAATGCAGAAATATAGCCAACAGACAGTTGGAAAAGAATCAGACGCAAGTGAACAGAAAATAAACTGACTTTTTTTTGAAAATCTCAATTTTCGAAATTCAGAGAAGAATTTAGATGGCCTCGGAGCTTTTTGAATTCCTAGAACACTTTATAATTGACAATTTTTTGAAAGAGTTAACCCAATTTGAGAAAACTGGATCAATAGGAAATTTTTTTATTTGGCTCGAAAATCTGATAACTAAATTTCATTTTCGAAGTTAGAAGTCCATCACAATTTTCGTAACCTTTACACTTTTGCTGTTCGCTAGCTAAGTTTAATTTTCTTTTAACACAGGAAACGAACTGAAATTTAAAAAAAAAATGAAAAATCAAAAGCGCGAAAAAGTTTTCCGGAAAAAAATCATCGCGACCTATATCAGAGCCTGAAGTACGTTCATCGACTCTTCAAATTTTTGGACAAATTCACAAAAAACTCATAGAATTAAATGCACCATTGTGGCTATTTGGGACATCACAAACGTCATTCATCGGACTTTCATACCAAAAAAAGAAAGGCTAACACTGATAAAATTTCACTTCCATTTAATCCAAAAAACTCCATATTTTAAATAATTTCGCATTAACTCTAAAAACTAAAAAAAACTGCATCACCATCAAAAATATTTCAATTAATATGGAGTTTCATTGTGTGATTCTTTATATACAAAAATTAAATTGGAAAGAAAGTGAAAATTGAAAAAAAAAGAGAGAATTTCCGATCTAGGACTAAGTTACCTGCTCCATTAAGAACAATCTAAGTAAAAATACTATGATTCAGATTTGAAACGATGAAAAAGCGATTTAAAAAATTATAGGAAAACATAACAAAACATGCGCGAACCAACAGACAGTTGGCAGGAAAGGTATCAACGAACTGAACAGAACCGAAATTATTGACATTTTTGAACAGTTTCGTCTTTCGAATTCAAAAGATAAATATTATCTTATTAGAGTTATTCAAAAATTTATGAACCTTTTATGAATGACACTTTATTCCTAAAACTAACCCAATTTGAGAAAACTCTGTCATAAGTAACTATTTAACCCGCTGTATATTCTGAAAAAAAGTCCATTATTGGAACTAAAAGTCGTTCGCACTATTGTGTTGCGCTATTTAAACGTTTTTAAGAGCAATGAGCGCCGGACTAGCATCAACCACAAGCCACTAACAAACCGGATACAAAAAGACATAATGCTAATGCAACAAAAGTAAACCAGATTTGATGATTAACGCAGCAAAAGTAAGCCAGATCGTGATTTTGTTACAAAAGTGCCACAAAACCAATGAGCAGTTTTTTATGCGAATTAGGTTAGAAAAAAACTTCACCATATGACACTACGCTCTGATTGCGAGAAAAAAACATCAACTTAACTTTTCCGAAAACTATATTAATTATATTATAAACTATAATATACAAAAATTTAGCTATATTTTACACAATTGACTGTGCGACCACCTTATGTACCTCTCTTTTGACTTTACTGAAGCTAAAAAAACCCAGACACTAATTTGCACTTTTGAATTTTAAAAAAACGAACGGCAAGTAAACCGGCAAAATAGTACTAGAATCCAAAAAATAATAGTAGCCAATTTTCTATTGAAAATATGTTTAATATGGCCGACAGACAGTTGGAAAAGAGTCAATGAACTCAAAGAAACTGAAAAATAATACTTAACTTTTTAAAAACTTTAAGCTCTTTCAATTGCCAATTTTTTGATAAAAGACAATCCAATTTGAGAAAACTGGATTAGTAGGGAAAGTTCTTATTCTGTTGGGAAACCTATAAATTAAATTCCACTTTCTCGTGCCATTTTAGCTTCCATTATTGGAGATTGAGCTGAACTGAAGTTGAATTAAATTAAACTCGAAAAGTGCATATTATACCTACGGGCATTCGTACGTGAATTTTAAAACAATCACGACCTATATGAGTGTGTGAACTACGTTCATCAACTCTTAAACATTAAGCTCTAGAACCAACGTCAATGAGAAAAGAGAAAAAATCAAACGCCAATCCGAAAAAATAATCAATTAAAATGTACTAAATCCTTTAACAAAAATCTGTTTCAGGCAACTCAATTAACTGCACCAATACACGAACACATCAAAAAGATTTAGTAACAAAAATTAAGAGACAAAAAACATCGCTGCTGTGGCATCAAAGCCGACACAATTTACGCAAAAAAAAAAACAACAATCCGACAAATATTAATTGGCCGAGAATTCAAATGGAAAATCGCACAAAAACTGTGGTGTGCGGCTGGTGGTTTTTGATTGGGCAGCACTGCCGACCTTGAGCATCACAGGGTATCCTATCTTGGCAGCCTCCTGTCTCAATCTCTCCACTGACTGGTCTTCCCCGTGGTATCCAGGGATGATGGGAACTCCAGCCTCACTCATGATTGCTTTGGAAATACTGCAACACAAATCCTATACCGTAAAAACAAATAAATTTGTCATAAACTGAAATTTATTCTGTTTAAATACTAAAAAAAACTACGAAAATTGTCTATGATCTTCTTCACATTAAAATCCATAAGTTTAATTTCAACTATTATTTTGGAATCTCTTTCCCATTACAGCCCCCCAGTCAAGTAACAAACAATCGCAACCGCACCGCAATTGGTTCTTCTACTATGGGGACTATAAAATGCTAGGACGTTATAACGGGAAAGCCCAATGTTCAACAGAATAAAATGTGATTCATAAAATGCACTCTCAATACTTGCCTCTTGATTCCCATGTCTCTAATTGCACTGGTGGGCGGTCCAATGAAGACGACTCCCTGCTTACTGCACGCATCTGCAAACTCCACACTCTCAGACAGGAAGCCATAGCCAGGATGGATCGCATCCACTCCCAACAGTCTAGATACTTCTAGAATCTTCTCGTAGTTCAAATAACTCAGACTAGAAGTGGCCGGTCCAATGTGCACTGCCTCGTCTGCCTCAAACACATTTTGAGCTATGCACCATCCCTTTTACTTATAATGACTGCAAAATTCTTACAAAATTATTCCGTTTTCAGGCGACTTCGCGCAAAGAGCAAAGCAGCAAAACTAATACTAAACTTCTTTCAACAGTAGCCACTTACATATCACGATTAAAAGAAAAGTGATGCAAATTATATGTTCAATATCTGTTAAATCGTTCCAAGGTAGGCTACTTTACTTCGAGTTTGCGAGTTTGAATTGATTTAATTCAGCTTTGTAAGATTTCGTGACCTTACCATGTGGACATGGAGTGAGTTGGCATCGGCATCTGAGAAGACAGCGACTGATTTGATGCCTAGCTTTCGTGCAGTCCGAATGACACGACACGCGATCTCGCCTCTGTTCGCGATCAGCACTTTCCCAATAGACCTCACAGGAGGCGACGAAACATCAGCACTGCTGTCTAAATAAGAGAAGCTGATACTGCTAGACGGGAAATAAAGATACAGCAGATATCTAAGAATATCGATTTGATAGTAGGGCAAATGTGCGGCAAAACGGACCTGTGGCAGTCAATTACGCAGCAAAGTACAACATGGGAACTGAACACTTCTCTGCAAATGAGAAGCTTTAACAATCAGAAAATCTTTTTATACTTCAAGACGCCAATTGGTTTTTCAGAGCTCTCATGTAGATAGAACTGAGGATAAACTAAGACAGCTATTTGCTCCAATTTTTTCAGGTTTAGCCATAGTTCATTTGTGAATCTGCGAGACAAAAAACGTCCCAGCCTGATAGAACCGACTAATTGTGTGCAAAATCAATTTGGTTAACTAAAAAAATTTCTGAAAATCCCGAAATTGGTTGGCTAATCACTTACCAGACAAACATCGGATTGAAATCACGACCGATGACCTAAAATATATTAGTAAGATTTAGGATAGCGAATACTGCTATTTGCCGATGACCAGCCTAAATTTTATAAATGATGCTACCTGCAGCCGACAGATTTTGCCAATAATCTCAATTCAGCTTTTCGTTTCAATTGAATTGCACATTTCATTTCTGAAAATAATAAACCACCTGGAAAAAACTAAAACAGCATTTGACTGAATAAGAAAACTAAATCTTCAAATTATCCAACAGCCTGTTTCCATGTAAAAAGTTACTTGGAACAATTTCCTGTTCACGAGTTCTCTCCAATCCACTACACAAGCATGACCTACTCTCTGTTCATGCTTTCATTCGACCCTCAAGTACAAAAAAAAGACTTCAGACACTCGTGAAACAAAAAATGCTGAAACTTACAGCGTTTATTGTTTTGATGGTTACGTTGTTTCTCCAGACATGCATGGCTGCTGTAGTAAGTACGTAATCCACTGTATTAAAAACATTTCGTGCAATATGACTATTCAATTGTTGTAAAGTTATCTCTATTTTTAGCATCCCAGAACTGGAAATCACCTCCACCGGGAACCAGCGGCGTCTATGGGTATTTCGTCAACAAAGGTCAAACTTAGTCTTTGTTTTATTTATGAACAAAATTACCCAAAAAAAACATTTCCTAAGTAAATTTTATCATATCTCCTATATAATCAGAAATGAAAATAATTTTGGCTTTTCAGGCGAGTTTCAAACGGAGCCTTTCATCGTAGACAGAGCAATCAACTTTTCTCTTGTTATTAACTTCACAAACTGGGTCACAATAGACCTTCCTATGCAGGAAGAGTACTGCACTGTACTACTATGCTTGGGCGGCAACTGGACCAAACTGGCCTCCTTCGGCACTCGAATCGAACTCGATGTAAGTGAACATTTAAACTGTCGTCTCAGCCTTTCTCTAGCAAAAAAAAAAACGCAAATCTCGTCGATTATTCTCTGGCGCTTTTTGAAACAAAGAGGGGCATTATACTAGATTGATTGCAGGTGATAAAAGAAATGAACATTTTCCAGTTAACCAGCCAAAGGCCTAGCACGGAGGTCAACTATTCAATGTTAACTATGGCAATCTCACCATCTGAATTGCAGCGCACCTACAATTTGAACCTGTAATCAATCTGGAACACAAAAATTCAAATTAAAAAAGCATCTGACAATTTTTGCGTGAAAAGTTAGCTTTCGCTGGAAGGAATTTTGTTAGATAGGTCATTTGCTCTTTTTAATTATTTTTGTCTGTTCAAATATTTTGCTACTTATTAAATCAATGTAGAAACTACCAGAAAGAGAAAGTAAAATGTACTTTAGGACCGAGACCTGATCTACTACTGTAGCTTCGACCTGCAGACTTTCTTCATGTCCGAGAAATTCGACTTCAGATGCAAAACTGAAACATGTTAGTCATCGACCTTTAAAAAACGTTCGATTTTTTCAATAGTCAAACAAACCGTGGCTGAGGCACTCGAAACCCAGCAATACCAAAAAACTGAAATGATAAAGCTACGATAAAGCCACAGAGCAGAGGTCAAACATATTAAAATATGAACATAATTCTGCGCAGAAAATACTTCCATTTTATTCTCCTTTCACATGCAGACGCTAATCCCGAGCAAAAGTTTTACTTAAAACCTAGCAACAAACGAAGCTTTCACACTTGAAAATAGACGTGTTAAAACATAGCCAAAACACAATTGAAAAAACTTTGTTGATTTATATTGATCCAAAAACCGAATCCAGAATTCCTAAGTTCCGGAAAAACTAATTCCCAACAGCTTCGGACTGCGAGAGCAACGATTTCAAATATTTCGTTGCCACAAAAAACGCTAAAATGAAATAAAATTTGAGCAATGCTAAAACACAAAAGCACTGAAGTGCCAATTTTAGTGCCATTATCAACAATTCATCTGTCATTGGACTTAACAATAGTCTAGAGGCAATTTGGAAATGGGATGGTTTGCTAACGCCACGAAAAGATTATCAAGAGTCGTACATCTTTTGATTTCTGTTCTAGAAAATGACGTTTGTTAAGATTTGTTAAATTTTAAGACACTTAGGCGACAATTCGTAACAAGTTACAATTCGTAACAAGTCACAATTCGTATCAAGGCAATGGCGAGTAGCGACCACTTGCTCCGCTCCGCTTACATTCAGCAGGAGACAAGAAGTGCGGTGTTTGCCGCTCACGCCTATTGCTTCCATTTGCTTAATTGTTGTTCCGACAATTGAAAGTCGGGCAAACGTATATGGTTAACGGTAAACGTTTATGGTGTGTTTCAGTTTTTCTTTTTCTTTTCCACGCAAAATCAGGTACCACAAACAATCATTGGAACGGGTAGAGTGATATATCATATTAACACCCGTTCAGTCGTGATTGAAAAGACAAAAAAAAATCAAAAAATTGCCCCAGTATCGAGAAAAACAGGTTAAAGTTTTTGATTAACTCGAGCGAATAAAGCAAGCAAGCAGGCTTAAAATTGTTAATTTATTAGCTTAACAGCTTAAAATAGCCTAATTTAAGCCGAAAAAACTTTAAGTTAGTTTTTAAGAGTAATGAATACAGGTCTTGCTGATTTTTTGTTGTAGTTTTTTTTCAGGAAAAGTCTTAAAAGTCTATAATAACTACAGATGTGCATTCATACATATTAATGAACTTATGAATGCACTTAGGTATATACGCACTTTTTGAACTATTGAAATTTATCTGCTGAAAGTGACGTAAATAGTACCTCTCCAAATACGAACGTGGAAATGGCGCGATAAAACGTGAACGATTTCTAGTTTCGAAAGTGGAATTAAACATTTAAATTTCCGGCGTAATAAAAACTTTACCTATTGATCGAATTTTCTCTAGTTGGGTTCAAAAAAGCGCCAATAATAAATTGTTCTAGAAATTCAAAGAGCTTAAAGGGCATCCATTTTTTCTTTGAAATTCGAAAGTTGGGATTTTTTTCAACAAAGTCAGTGTGTTTTATAAGTTTACTTGCGTTCATTACTTGTTTCAAATCTTCGATTGGCTATATTTGGAGTTTTAGCGCCATTTTTGGCATCCAAAACTTCAAAATTCAAAACAAAACTGCTTTACAAACTGAAATTTTTGAAAACTTATTCTTTTCTTGTCATTTTCTACTAAAATTGTTGGCCAATTTTATTATTTTACTATAAATTTCGAAAATGCCTAAGTTCTAATATTATGTTCAGATCCTTTTATCTCACCACGCAGAACAACTACTCTAACTTGAAAAAAAAAAATTGTTTTATTTGTTACTACTTTCCCAGTAACCGGCTATGCTTGTAGTTGTTTTGTCAGCAGACACTTATGACGTGTTGCAGCTGGGCGGGAGTGTGAAGCAGAAGTGGAGTGGTTTTGTATGGACCACAGATAGTGCATTCCAGCTCAACGTCAACAACACACCCCCACTCATCATCCTCTACAACGCCAACATCACCGTCTACATCACAGGCAAGTAGGCGGCCACACAACATGCAACGTATAATGACCCCCCTGAAAAATAAATAAAAATCTAGATGTGAGAAAACGTCGTACAGGCATGAATTATTTAATTTTTTGTATTATTTATTGCTTCAACCTCGCCGCAAAAAAAGTAGAAAACTCCGGCGCTTTGTAAATTTTCCGATTTTAGAGATTTTCCTTATTGGGATCAAAACATATATCACATCAAAAATTTCTGCATCAAATCAACCGATTCCGTAAAAATCAGTCAGCAAAATCTTAAATTTACCTCACCTATCCAAAAACCCGTTTTTTTTCTTCAAAACTGTCTTCTTAACAAAAATCGTTTTTTAAACTATACCGTTGTTGATTTTTTTAAAAAAGAAGTAGCACAGAATGTTCCAACCATATTCAGCGCTAAATTAAGCTAAACTGAGCTAAAAAAATTTTTAAAAAAAACTTTCTCAGCCTAAAACTCGCTTGAAATTAGGGGCTCGAATTTTTTAAGGGTAGTTTAAAAAATGGGGGAACTTTGTCTTCGGGTGTTATAGGTTTTTTTTTCAGAGGTCGGAATAATCATCTGAGTTAAGCAAATGGTTTATATTTGCCTACTTCAATTGCACTTGACAAAATATACAGCAATACTTTTGACACAAAGGAAATTTCAAGTGTTATTGAAAACAAGGTAGTTTTGTTTAGCTTTCCGATAAGCTCAATAAGCTTTCCTTGCAGGAAAAATTATGCTCGTTTCCTCAAATTAAGTGAGCGTTATCTAAAAGAACCCAAGCAAAGAACTGAGCCGAAGCGGAATGGGGCACAAGTTCCTATTAGACAAATATTCAATGTGAAATTAAATTTGAAAAAATGATTCAATAAAAAACTCAATTTTAAATTTTTGACTATTAACCACGATCCATCTGTTCGCAAGAAAAACTTTTTCAATTATAAAACTCAGTCATTAAAAAACTCAAACCAGGCGAAGAAAATACGATCCGATAATCTATGAACTTAGAGAGATCCTTTAAAATCCTTTCCATACGATCCGATATTCTATCAATTTAGAGAGATGTTAAACTGGCACCAATTAGAGACTTAGACTTTCGTAGTTAATGTGAACTGTTACTAACTAGTTTTTTCAGCACAGTTAGCACCTCATTTCTCTCCGAAAAACTTGTCAGAAAAAAGTAAACCGAATATTTTTAGAAATAATTTCTTTTTTCGGTTTTCTAAATTGTTTGATGTGCTCGGAACTATATGCAAAAATGACTCTAGGCGGACCTCCTCTGCTTTTTGTATAGTAACCGGCATAATGTGTCATATAACATAAGCATAACACTGGTTCTTAGATGCTGGAAATGTTCTGTTTTCAGATGATCTGTCTTCATTAATACCGCAGTGTGCTCACATGACCTCGTAAGTTTAAATGAGCAGTAGCATAATTTTATAATTTCTATTCAATGTTAATGCAGCTTGTGCCACTTGTCTTGTTCCAGGTGGCAGTGGGCCCTCATAGGTATGGTCTATGGCCTGGCCATTGGATGTGTGACATTTGTCCAGTCGCCCAACTATGCCACCAGCCTCAAAAACAACCCATTTGGATCGGGAAACAAGTAATTAGAACTTAGTTTATGCAATAGCATTTCATACAATTTCTTCTTGTGTCAAACTCTATCAATTTAACTTGAGATATTTTCACTCTTGAACAAAAAACGGATCTACTTAACAATCTCCACCCATTTCAAGAGATTGTTAAGTAGATCAAAATGGTCGATTCTCAACCAATCAGAATGCAGCAAAATTAGAATTCTCAATAGAAAGCGCAGTGCTAATTTACTGTATTTATTTATAGGGGTGGAGGCATCATAGGGGGAGAAGGGAGATCTTGAAAAAAAAATAATCCAACTGCTTGACAAAGACAATGTGCAGAATACTCAACTTAGCAAAAACTCATCTGACCGTTGTTTGAAACAACCACTAACTCATTGTTTTAAGTTCGGTTTAGGCTAAAGAAAATTTTAACACAATTTTATGGAAATAAACTCTACGAACTGCCCTAGGAAATTAGCAAACATTTCTTTTAAAAACTACATGAAAAAAAACAAAAGATTGTTTATTTTTATTTCAACAAGTCAGTTTCCACGTATCTCCATAACTCGTCCACTACTTTTCTGTCGTTAGTTTTGAACTGCACTTTGCTCAGCCTCACCAGGGCTCTGATGTCCCTCGGAACACTCTTCTCCTCTTTCCTCTTTCTCAGCAACTGCTTCATTGTTTTCATGTCGTACTTCAACTTGCCTGCATTCCTCATCCACTTCTTCGTTTGCGTGCAAGAAAACTCTTGATACATTGATCCAATTTTAGTTTAGGCTCCGGTGAGTTTAAAAAATGTATGTTGATCTACAATGATTCAACTAGAACTATGGCTGGCATATTTACCCTCTTTCTATGACATGTCAAAACTGGAAAAAATCGTACAAATAAGATTTACACAAAAAACTCCACAACTACACATGAAATAAGTCGGAAAAGTACAATAATATGAGGAGTGCAACGAAAAAATGAAACATCTTCACTAAAAATTTAAAACCTAAGACGTATAACAAAAAATTGATCCATCAATCAACAAAAAAAAGAGGCAAATATGCACTTCTCAAATAAAAGCAAAAATCGAAGATACCGCAACCTAAATCATTGTTTGCTTTCAAAATGTATTCTAACTTTTGGCCGAATTACAAATAACAATCAAAAACAAGAATTTTTCCCTCCGCGAGCTATGTAAAAAACAAAAAGGTTGCCCCATTTGAATTGGAAATGATTTCGATGCTGGATTCATTCGCCGCTTAGCTGTAAATATAACAAGCATACCGAGCTGTAATTATACTGACTTGACATTTTCCAAAACCGAATAACTCAATGGAAAATGATCACATTTGAAATGCGTGTTTTAATTTTTAGCTCGGGGGAAGAAACGAAATAACAGATCCGAGATAACAAAAACAGATCAGTTGAAACGGTCGGTTATTTTATGGTTATTTGGCGATATAATTGACACAGAAATTTTAAAAAAAAAGATGTATGGGTAAAGCGAAAAAGCTCAATTGGTTGGAAAAAAAAAACAGTACTTACAGAGGTGAAGCAGTGCTTTGGACCACTTGCGATAAAAATACAAACATAGCAGACAGAAACTTCTCGAAAGAAAAAAAGTTTTTGAACATGTCAAAAAGCTAAACAACCAAATTTTCAATTGGTCATGAAAATGTTCACTTAAAAAACATGCCAAAAAATGCAGGAAGTTATAGACCGGCCAATTTTTCATATATTGTTATCCGGACAGATTTAATGTATTTCGAACAGTTTTCGAATCGCAAGAAATTAAAAAAAAAATGTTGAGGTTTAGAATGAGCCAATTTTTTATATCTGCGCGATAATTCAAGTTGTTAAATATTCATTGACAACGATGGATGGAATAAACATTAGATACGGCAAATTGAATCGAAACAAAATTTACAAGTTGATAATAAAGCCGACATTTTCTCAGCAGACACACGTTGAGCAAACTTTAAATAAAAAAATTAGCCCCACAAAAGACTCACACGCATAGGAAACTTGTTTCGCTCATCCACCGATGCAATATAACGCCACTAAACAGATTAGGTACAAACTGTTCAACTTTTATGCCGAATAAACAAAAAAGAAAAAACGAAAACTATACCAAACTGGAGTTGGTGAAATTGAAACCAATATAACAGTAAATATCGAATAAAACGGGTATTTTAAAAGCAGATATGCTGAAAATCTCTTCTGGTCGACGAAAGCGCAGATTTGACGAAATCATTCAGTTAATTTGTTTACAGGAAAATTTGTTTCCTAGAAAAAGTCTAGGTTCCGTATTGATAACGCTTGCTCACCGTGAGCATACAAATCACATGCATGACAATTATGTGTAAGCCAATCGAGAGAGTTAAACATAAAACAGAAATTCAAAAATTTTAAAAAATGTTTCTTGAAAAGTTTCCAAACAAAACTTATTTCCTCATAAAATCTGGTTATTCAATTACCTTCACCAATGCAGCTTTAGAAATCGCTAAATTTAGAAATGCAGCTTTAGAAATTCTAAATTTTTGAACAAAGCTGAAAAATAGAGTCGCGCTAAGGGAGCTAAGCGGAAAAAAAAACAGACGGACGATAGTCCGAAAAAGCAAAATTTCTTGTTTACAAAAAAATGCAGGTCGCAGCAGGATTTGAACCTCAGGCCTTTCTTGTCTCAAGCATAAGTGTTACCTCTACACCAGATAGCTAATTGCTTTTGAATATAGTATGAAGCAAGTTGAAACACATGTAACTTTCACGTGCGAAATCTTGTGAAGGAATTTGTTTACAGAAAAAGTCTAGTACCAGTTTGCAACAGCCTGGCTTACCGCAAGGGTAATTAAGTAGTATTTGCAATTATACATTTTTCAGGTTAAACGTTGATCTCAGACGCCAAGAAAATCGGGAGATTTTTTAAAAAAATTTACATTCGCAAAGTATGCTTTCGTATCTTTAACCACACCAAAAGCTCATGAAAATTGTCCATATTTTTATTTTGTTCGAACACAAGATCAATGGAAGCCATGCAGTTGAAAGCGTTTCTGTTAGACAAGATGTTTGCAGGAGAAAATTCTAGTTCACGAGTATAATGCACTTGACAATCGCAAATGTTAATACTTTTAATCGCTTTTGAATAAGCTATTCTTAGTGTTTAACTGAAGAGCCTAAACTAAAATGAATACCTTTGCATAGATCGTAATACTCTGAAGAATTCAGCTCTGAACTTTCATCATCATCATCGCTGTTTTCATTCGTAGGTTTCGATAATTTTATTGGATTAACAGAACAAGTTGTTTTTGGTTCAAGAGAAACGGAGCTGTGTTCACTTTCGGAAGCGTCTGTTTCTTCTACTTGTAAACTAGGAGTAACACTACTTACGATATGATATTGCATGAATCCACAAACAGAGACAATGCCGCAGCCTCTTACTAGACTAACAGCTATCGGCATATCAAATGAAAAATTTAACCGGCGATACTGCTTTTTCGAATCTACTTTCATCATGATTGGATCCAATCCTGAACTTTTAGGAAACAAAATGCAAACTACGTTAACATCATTGGCCGCTGGTATTTTCTCGTTGTAAAACAACAGATGAGATAAAAAGATGTTTGAGATTTCGAAATTAGATACTGATTTTCCACAAGTAAGCTC